CTATAAATAACCCCTTGTACTTTGTGTAATTCATTCAATAGAAGTTCAGCTTTTCTTTTTTCAGCATTCTCCTCTCTTTTCCTCCTTTTCCTTTTATGCAAGTTTGCTTGCCGGCTTAAAGTCATTGTGTGCGAGTGCGGGTGTATGAAGACAGTGTGCTGCGTGTGGGAGTGCTGGGTGCTTGCTGGGCGAGTGCTAAAGCACAAAGGCTGACTTGAGTTTCAGTACCGGGATAAGGGTTGAACCCAAGACCGCACGAAGGGTGGTCTGAAGACTCGCCCCGTGACAATGTGACTTGCACCTCTTCATTCTACAGAACTTTAATCTATTAGAGGAATACATGAAATAAGTATAATAATATATAATATTACTTATTTAATTAATTATTTAATTACTTATAATACTAAACCCTAAATATTTTTAAAATTAAATAATATTACTAATTTAGCTAACTAATTTATATACATAAACTCTAATTTAATTGTATAATTAAATAATACGTTAGTAGATGTCAGCGCAAACATCAATTGAAAACAAAATCCAACTTAAATATTAAAATTATTAAAATTTCATTTGATACCAGCATATTAATTTATTAAAATCTTTCATAATTTAAATGATTTTAAAAATGCTTAGTAATATTTTATTAATTTAAATTAAACCTTAATTAATTTAACTACTGTTTAATTAGCTAATATTATTAATTTAATACATTTCTAAATAACAAATTAAAAAAAAATTTCATTTATTTGATTAGTTAAATTCTTTAATTACCCTAAACTACAACCTTAATTAATTTAACTAATTTCAACTTTTATTAAATTTACTCATTTAATTAATTCTTTACTCTAAACCTTGAGTAAGTTAAATAATTTTTGCCTTTCAAAAAAAAAATTTTTAATTTTTCTAAATGTACTAATTTAATTTATTGATTAATTACTTAATACATGATTTTTTATATACTTAAATTATTTAATTAATTCCCTAAATCCTAATTTAAATCAAATATAATATTATGCATCATGTTAGTCATTTAACTAATTTCTAATTTACTTATATAATAAAACAATCCATTACTTAATAATTAACTAAATTATTTAATTCACTCACTAAACCCGTAATTAATTTTAAATTTTTAATTCGTTGCTAAGCAACTAATTAAAACATTTTTCATAAATTTGATTAGTTAAATTCTTTAATTATGCTATAATGCAACCTTAATTAATTTGACTAATTTTAAATTAATCTAACTTTAGTCATTTAATTAATTGCTTAATTACCCTAAACCTTAATTAAGTTAAATAATTTTACTTATACAATCTAGATGATGTATTTCATAGATCAATATTCAAATAGCCTATTTTCATAAAGTTTCATCAAGTTTCCATTTTCCATTTTCCACATTGCTAATATTAATAGTGATAGAAATTGTTTGTAAATCAAATCCCAATTAATAGCACAATATCCCAATTGTTTGCAGTTAATTAACAGCACATAATTGTCAACATAAACAACCTAACAATTAACAACACATTGTTTTTATTTTTTATTTTTGAAAGAAAGGGATTTCATTATATACCACAGAAAAAGACTTTCTTGGACAAACAAAAATGAATATTCACAACCCGAAACTCAAAAACCCAGAAAAAGAAAAAGATCACCACATTGGACCACAACTCACAAAACCAGACACAAGAACAAAAGACTGTACATCAACAATACAAAAATCAAACAAAATTCAAACTAGACAAACAATCATACAAAGAGCAATCAAGGAGAATGCCAAGATGGAAAACTGAAGCAGAAATGCATGCTCTTGCTTATCAAACCTGAGAAGAACTAGGCAGGACAATCAAAGCTGCAGTCAAAACCAATCAACCAACACAACTCCCAAGCATCAGACTATTTGTACACATGCTTTTGCTTATCTCAAAACTCCAGGCATCAAACATAACCCCAAAGCAGAACAAAGAAAAAAAAATCGGTAGATACAAAACAAACTGGTAGAAACGATCGAGAAAACCTCAAAGCAGCTCCACCGTAGCAACACTCCCTTCATCCCTCAACACATTCCTCCGTGCCACCATCTTCATAACACCCACAAAGAAAAAATGGCAAAATTCAGACAAAACCCACAATAATAATAATAATAATAATTTGTATGGAAATTTTGTGCAATCAATTAAAGAATCATTGTAATGGCGTTTTATGTGAGATTGGAAGCTTTTTAAATGAGGGTTTAAAACCCTAATTCTGAAAAAGTTGAAATTGAGGGAGAAGAGAAAAGGTATTGGCTAGGCCCCAAAATGAAAAGAGAAAGAGGAATCAACTACCGCAGGGGCTGCATCAACTGTCGGTGTGGGGCAAGAGGTCATTAGGGTGGGGCGGGAGGCAGGGGAGGCCAAGAGACAGAGAGTTGAGGGAGAAGAGGGAGTTTAATGTTAAAGGGTGAAATGGGAGGAAATAAAGGGCCTCGAGATGTTAAATTAAATTATCAACGGAATCATCGACAAAATTTTCGCCGGCGATTCATCGGTGATTCCATCAATATAGTTATTTGTTATGCCAATCGTCTCCGTTAATGATTCCATCAACAATTCCATTGGTGACATAACTATAATTCCGACCAAATCGTCCGTTGCTAATTTGGTCAGTTTTATCCATCGGTAATGGCAATAGCCCATTGGTAAACTTAGTGTGATCTTACAATATTGTGCACCATTGTACTGCCGATGGAGTTTTGACAGAATTGATTCCGTTAGTACTTTTTGTCAATGTTCCATTGCTATTTCGTCAGCCTTTTATTAGTATTTTTTGACAAAAATTATTCTGTTGGTAAAAATCTGTTTTTTTTTTTTGGTAATGTAAGAAGAAACAACTTTTCTATATATTGTAATTAAGTGCTAAGAAGGTTGAAAACAAGAAAAGGTGATTAATGATTGTTATAACAGGAAGTACTTTTTAATGTTTTTGTGAATCAAATAATAATTTAATCATTAAATTTTACAATTAATCCCTATATTATGTAAAAAGTATAAATTATAAGTCATAGATTTTTTGACCAGAGTGACAAGCAACATCAACCGAGTCCTTCTATTTTTGCCTAGACTATCATTAAGCTTATTGTTGTCGCAAAGGTGAAGGCGTTTTATCAGGTGTGCTTAGCTTCTCACTATACGGATCAAAAGTCACTTTGAGTGCAAAGTGAATAAAATTTGAAAGCCCTTCTTGTCTACAAGTTGCCTTGTCCTTGAATTTTAGTGAGAGGTGAATGGCAGGTTTGCAAGAAAAAAAAAGAGTGGATGCCAAGCTTAAAAGTTGATAAGTGTCAAGGTGACTTAGAGAGTTCCTTGGATGCCTAGAATGCAAGTGAGGTACAAGTGTGGGGATAACCCATAGGTAACACTAATGGGGCCTTAGGGGGTAATTAGTTATGCCCTGAAAATGGCACGAAGGCAATTTTGCCCATGACCCATCAGCTCAATGAGTTAGAATTTACATACGAGGAGCTAGAAACTTTAAAAAAAATCTAAGAAATTGTACAAGATTGGAAGAAAACGAGTAGAGTAGATCAAGGAAGATTCATCAATAAGGTTACCACGAGATATCTAGCATGGCATGGTTAGAGGGTGTAGGATGTTGTATGTCCCCTAAAAAATGCATTAAAACTCTTAGTTAAACTAGAGCCCCAAGATGTCCTCTTAGAGAGTGAATTGGCTAAAACGAAGCTTGAGAAAGAATTGACGAAAATGAAATGAAGATACGAAGCTGAGCTAGAAGAAGTGAGGAAAGAAACAACAAGAAAATGAAGAATGGCCTTAGAAGAGCAAGATGAGTGGAAAAAGAAGTTTGAAGGTCCAAATGCAACAAATTCTTCCTTGATGATCAGAATTCAAGAGATAAAAGACATTAATGGTATTTTGTGAAACAAAGTACAATGACAAGAGCAAACCATACAAGGGCTGAGGAACGATTGCAACTTAATGGAGACAACTATGGAAGGTTATAAGGGACAATATGAAGCTGTTAGGCAGGAATATTTTCAAATGAGGGAAAAAGGTGACTTGTGCAAACAAAATCTTCAAAAGAAGGAAGTTGAAATAGAGTGGATAATAAGGTAGATGAGAGAAGTAGCTTTGAAGGCTAGAAAAATGGTAAACAAGACAAAAAATCTAAGGCAAGAGATTCTTTCGAAGGAAAAGTTAAGTGAGCATCTGATCAATCATTTTAGGGTGGTGTAAGACTAGTATGACAGAGTCGATTGTTCTTTTTGAAAGCAATGATGTAAATAAATGAACATGGTTATAATTAGATATTCAATTTTATGAATATGGATTTCTTATGATAATTGTTGTTGAATGGCCAATATTTTTCATTTGCATTACAATTGCGTTATTCATTTTAACAAAGGCATGAAAAGAAATAATATGTATTTGTTAGAATTTATTTAATCAACTAATAAAATTCTAACTTATGAAAATGATCAGAAATAACAAAATTCTAGAGAAATGAATCCTTCACAGATACAACACGAGAGCCCCCTAAAAAGTCATGGGGCACAAACACTCAGAAAGAATGGATAAGATTAAGAATAAGCTAAAGGAGATAATGGGCAAATTGACTAAAATATTGGAAATTATGTCCACTGATAAAGGAAAGCGAGTGATAGGAAGTTCAAGTACTCTAAAAGAGATACAACCTTCAGATACTCATGTAGAGCCTGCATACTTATCAAGATTTACCCTGCCACAAGTGAAAAACCCTCAAGTCCTCATGTCGAAAGTAGGCTCGTATCCATTCTTTGAAATGTCTTTGGCTGTGGGACCACCTTCGACCTATGTTCAACCAATGTCGATTAGAGGATTGAGTCTTTCGAATCCTATCTCTAGGCCTGATTTGGATAATCTAAAGGAACAGGAAAAATTTAAGTGTGAGTCTTCTGAATCAAAAGACAACCTTGACACCCATCAGAAGTACGACCTGCTGGAAGAAAGGTTATGCATGGTAAAAAGGATGGGTAGGTATTGTTCCATGGATGCAATAGAGCTTTTTCTTGTGCCAAATGTGGTCATCCCTCCAAAATTCAAAATTCCTAACTTTGAAAAATATGATGGCATCAAATACCTAGTTATGCATATCACTATGTATTATAGGAGAATGGCTGCATATGCACATGA